GTAAATAAACACATCCCTGGCTACATTACCAGTCCCGCGCACGTGTAGCTTATAAACTCCTCAGGAGAAGGGATTAGAGCATGAGCTGTTTATCCCCGCTTCTGAACTACAGAAGGATGTCAAGTATAAAGTCTTTTGTTAAAGCTTCTACGTGAATGCCAAGGAGAAAGGACATCTTCTGAAAGTCAAGCAATGAAAGGAAAGTCCCCCAAATATTCCAGACTCTGTCCCCTAAGATCAAGGTATCAAAAAAATCACTCTGTGAGATAACTCGGCTGGTGTTTCTATGGGGCTTAGGAATGATTCTGGTCGTCCCGCCGGCTCCACGCACTGTTGGGCTCTGGCAGATTTTAGAAACTCCTCACGGGGCAGCTTGCACCCCGCAACCCTGCACAGGGAGCTGCGGGGCAGGGGGGAGGTGGTGGCAGCCCCGCTCCGGCACAGCCCTCCCGCTGCTCCCATCCCAGTGCCCTGCCCCGACCAGAGCCAAGCCGCCGCCGAGCAGCTGCCAGCCAGCGAAACAGCAGCTCTTTCTCTGTGACATACCTCACGATCCTCTGCGCATACTTGGCCCGCGGGGCAGCCGCAAAGTTTTTATCATCTCGGTCCCGAGCGGCGTTTCCTTGCAGCACGGAAAGTCTCAGCCAGGCGGGGATGGGACCTCCATCGCTCCGGGACTGCAGCTCGGGGAGAGCCTCCTCTCCTCCGGTAGAAAAAATCCTAGCATGCAGGTGGGTTTACAAACGCTACAGTACGATCTGATACAGGCTCTCAAAATGCCATGCTTAAGCACACAAATAGTATTTTCTATTAGTCTGCCTTCAAATTTATGTGCCTTAATACATTGCTCTTTATCTTAACGGTGTTTTGCAAGACGTACAGGAGATGTAACGTGGCCAGATTACTGTGAGAATCGTAACTTTGTTCCCGACTGCATTCTGAGTGATTAGAACAGTAACCTTCACATCACCTTAACAGCCACATTGGTATTTTATTACATATATTCCCAAGCAGATTATGTTGTTAAGGTAGATTTTTTTAACCATAACTCAAGAGGAGAAAATACAAAGCCTTCACTGAGATCTGTTGCTGAAGAGCATGGAAATTGGACGCTTTCAGACTGCATTTGGGCTCAGACGAAAATTTTAAAAGGTGAGCTTTTTTGACTCTCCAAGTCACCAGCAGCCTCTCTGCTCTCCTTCCCAGAGCCACGCAGGAGAAAAAATGATGCCTTTTAAACAGAGGCAACTTTTCTTGATGAGGATGAAGTACAGCCACAGCAGTCCTTCCCTCTGACAGGCAAACTGACCACAAACACACACCACAGAGCCTAATTAATGTTTTAATACTCACCGGTCAGAGTTACAGAGCTATAATATGTAAACTTCCAGATCAACAGCATTTCTCTAGATTAATGCTTAAAGTATCAGGGAGCATTAGAAAATGTGATCATGCTCTGCTGAAATTATCAGAACCATCTGTTTGTCCTTCAACCGCGCTTTCATTCCTTATTTTTTCCATCACTCTCAAATCTCTTTCCTTCGTATGAGACAGCCTCTACAGCCACCTTACACTGACTGCCCCGGGTTCAACATCCCCATGTCAAACCCAGGTGTTGAGTAGACACTCGATGCGCATCACTGGTGTTTGGAAATTCTCCAGGCACCCACGCCGGTCCCGAAGGTGGGGGGACACAACTCCCAGCGCCAGTAGGAATGTGCCCAAGTAGTTCTGGCGTTGCTGCAGGTTGTAGAGTACCCTGGATTTTTGGAGATGGACTTTGGAGGTGTCTCAGTGCCCTGACTGTTTCTGGGCTGGTGTCTAAGAGAGAGGCAACTCCTTCCTTACTCTTTGGAAAGACTGGGAAGCACGCAGGTGCCAGGCTGCTCTCATATTCTTACCATGAGCCCCTTGATTTCCTCCTGGCACTAGTCCCTGGCCCGATTTATGCCCTGCTTGGCCAAACTCCTTGGAATCCTGCTGTTACTGTGCTTCCAGCACCTTGGCCCCCAGTGGGAGCAGAGCATGGCTGTGGCCATAGGCCAGCTGGATGCCCGCTCGCAGCTCCTCCCCAACGCTCACCAGAGGTGCCGAGCCAGCACGAGCAGACACGAGGGGCACTTCACTGGCACCCGGAGCTGCCGAAGGCCTGGGTGCCGCGCAGGGGTGGCACTCAGGGCTATTGCGGAGGTACTGCGGGTCTGTAGGTACCAGGTCAGCTCTGCCACGGCAGATGAATCAGCAGCTTGTGTCTGTGGAAGTGGGATGGCCTGAGCAGCCACATCACCTGAGGAACACTGGTGATGGAAACCCCAGGGCCATCGGCGCATTTCCAGCAGCGACTGGCGGTACAGCTCTTCCTCAGCTCCAGGAACAGAGTCAGGACAGTCAGGAGCTTCAATCTTTGTCCTTCACAAGGTGTAGGAAAACAAGCATGAGAAAGAGTGGCTTCAGGGTTTTCTCACTCAAAACAGGGATACACCAATGCAATAGCACCGTATAACGAATGCTACGGTGGGGAGCTGTTGCTATGGTGAGGAAAATAATATTTAAGCACCAACTGTTTATAAATATAAAATCCCTACAAAGTTTTCTAAAATTACATTAAGGGGGCTAGGGCTGTCAAGATATTGTAAAAGACTTGAGAAATACCGGTATTTTTGGACACCCAAGATCTCCTAAAACAGCAAACACAAGTCCAAAATGCTAAACATCAAAAGTGACGACTCTGCTGTTGTGCTTCCCAAGATTTAAAAGCAACCTCACAGCCCTGAACTTGCTGTCGCAGCCTGGCAGGCCTCTGAGAGTGGAGGCGAGACCAGCATTCCCAGGGATTTATTTTTCTCTTGACACAATCGTAGCGCAGGGATCTGTGCTCTGCTGTTTTCCCGTAGCCCGCTTGCTGCCAAGCAAAGTTGATCCAAGCTGCTGCTGAGCACGCTGGTACCGTGACCCTGCAGTTACACTTTGCGAATCCTAGAGTCAGAGGTGAAGATTTGGAAATCCCTGAGCTGGGGAGGCAGCTCCTTGCAGAGCACAGGAGGTTGTCGGGAGCTGTGTGCTGCTCACATGAATGTAAGAAGAAAACTGCTGTGATTTCTTATAATGCCCAGGCAGCACCAAACATGCACAAAGTAAAACAAGGACATAAAAAATGAATATCCATCGTAGCGTCTCATAAGCAGGCTCTCGTTGGGAGCTGCCATTTCAGTGGAGGTGCGGTCAAAGTGCTAAAGATGCAGCTTGGTTGGCAAGCGCCGGACAAAAGGGCAAACATTCAAAGTTGCCAAAAGTAAATGTCCGACCCGCTTCGAGGGACTGCAGAGAAGCAGAAACTGGGAGGAACGTGACTGTCAGACCACAATCACCTCAACAGCCCTGACACTCTCCCATGTTTACTGGCTCTGCCCCATCCCACCGTCCCAGGGGGTCAGGGTGGCACCTTCCTACCTCAACTTGTCATTGCGGCACCACCGAGGATGGTTTTGGCCCCTGCCCGTGGCGCTGAGCCCTGGCCCTGGCAGCCCAGGGAGGATTTCTGGTGCTGAAGAACTAGACCCCACGACAATATTTTTTTTTTTTTAAATGAGCAAAGGCCACCGGAAAATGCACAAATAAATGCACACTGCCATCACTACCAAACCCGGCAGGGAGTAGGGCGGGGAGCTGCTTGCACCCCAGAACTGGGGTGTGGGGAGGCTGGGAGCCGCGGGGGTCCCCTCTGCCCCGCACCCAGCCCCTCTTTGCGGGGTGTGGCGGGGAACCAGGGACCCCCGTGCCCCCCTCCAACAACCCAGCCTGGGAGGGGACACGTCTCCTCGGGGGGGTGGCGTGGGGGGAGCCCACTGGGACCTCGCCCGTGACAGAAGAGGGGCTCTGTCCCGCTCCGGCCGCGCCGCCTTGGGGTTGGAAAAAAAACAAGGAAAAAAGAAAAAAAAAGAAAAAAAAAAAAAAAAAC